GAGATGGTGAGAAGCAGTGGCAGCAGAACTAGAGGACCAGCATGAGATGGTGCATGGGCTTCCTGGCCCACGGAGCAAGGTGGCTACTGTGGGCTTGCTGACCCATGGAGCCAGAGAGCTGAGTGCCCGCAGGCAGGAGGCCTGCTGATGGAGTGGGGTGCCTCCAGGCACTTATTGGCAGAGCTAAAGAGCTTTGTAACACTTGCTCAAGCAGAACAGAGGTCAAGCCAATAGGCCAAGGGGCCGAGGAGCCGAGGGGCCGAGAGCCTAGAGAGAGGCTTGCCTGTAGGCATGGCCAAGAAGCTGTCCTGACCCAAAAACCATATCCTGAGTGATTCCTGATCCTGACTTGTACCCTATTCCTTCACTAATAAACCCCATAACTGTGAGTATGGTCTGTAAGTTTTGTGTGGCCATTGCAACAAATTATCAAATGAAACAGAGGAGTAGAGAGTGCAATGGGAAGGATGGCTGGTGTCAGAATTGGCAAAAATAAAAGGTTTGAGAGAGGAGTGTATCTGACCTCCATCTCACTGAAATCAGCCTGGGTTAATGTTGGTCTTGATTCTCTCTCCTCCCTCTTATGAAGTCAGACAAGAAGGTCTGATGCCACCACCATGCCATTTTTATACCCTGTTTTCATGTCTGCCCTCTTTTATAAAATGCCACCCAGAGGGAATTAGGATTAGGACCCACCCTACTCTGGTATGACCTCATTAACTTTAACCGATCACATCTGCAAAGAAAAAAACCCATTTTCCCAAACCAGGTCACGTTCACAGGTGCAGGGGTTAGGACCTCCACATATCTTTTTGGGGAACATGATTCAAATCATAGCATCCAGTCAAAGGAACCAGAGCTCCTTGGAGAAATGGCTAATTGCAGGGCTGAGGCAAGGAAAGTATAAAGCCAGTCCAGAGGTTTTGCTGTACCAGAAAGTAAGGAAGTGCTCAAAAAATGTTGAGGACAAAGCAAAAGGACACTGACACCACCTTGGAGGGGCTCACACTGGCCCCGTGTGGGACAATTTAAGCATTAAAAATTGTCAGCAATGAATTATAACATATTGATGGAAGAGAAAACCAGGAGTCCATGACAATATTTTTTAATGGCATGGGGAGGGGGGGACTCTTCGTGAGAGCAAACGCCAGCTGATAGATGTAGGAGGAGGAAATAATTACAAAATGACCAGTTTGTGGCCATCTGTATAGTAATCACAAAAAATAAAAATAAAAACCCAAACCTACTGCTGTCAAGTCGATTCTGAGGTAGAATTCAGAGTAGAACTGCCCCATAGGGTTTCCAAAACTGTAAATCTTTACAGAAGCAGACTGCCACATCATTCTCCTGTGGAGCAGTTGGTGGGTTTGAACAACTAGCCTTTCAGTTAGCAGCTGAGTGCTTTAACCACTGCACCACCAGGACTCCCTGTAGTAATCACCAAACCAAACCCACTGCCGTTGAGTCGACTCTGACTCATAGCAACCCTATAGGACAGAGTAGAACTGGCCCATAGGGTTTCCGAGGCTATAATCTTAACGGAAGCAGACTGCCACAACTTTCTCCCTTAGTAATCACCAGTGGGAGCTAAAACCACTGGGGGAAATGGTGTTGGGGACAGGGCATTCGTGTGGCCTCAAAACCTCAGCAGACTGCTGACTTGTTCCTAAAGGAGAAAGGTGCTCTCTCAGCTGCTGCTGTCCCAACCACGTGGTCCCAGTTAGCACTGCCAATGATGAGATGAACCGATATGGTTACCCTCCTGACATGGTGGGGAACATACCCCCAGATCGCCGGCGGTGTCCTTGCCACAAAGGTCTGCCCTGTATCTAACCATGAAGAAAGGGTCAGACCATCCAGACTGGTCTCACACACATCCAGGTCATGAGAGACAAACAGGCGGGACCTTCTGCATAGCTGAGTACCTGTATCCGTTCAAACGTATACAAGCCATCAGACAATACTCACTCTTCATACCACGTCTTCCACCAACATCGTGTTTTAAAGGCTTTTTCTCTAAATCAGCATATCCCTTCTACATCATCTCAGCCGTGCCTGCGTCGTATCCCACAATGCACTTCACAAGCCCCTTATTTATCGTGATTTATAGCGGTTTCCTGTTCTTACAAAGAGGCCGTAACCACATCAGTCGGTGGTGCATTTGGAAGGCACTGCCAGATGTCATTTGAGAGCTAGTCTCACTGACGGAGTATGTGTGAGAAGCCTTCTTTCCTCTCCAGCGCTGATGTTATTAACCTTTAAGCTTTTGTTTACTGATTGAAACATTACAATTGGTCAAGAGAAGAAAACGTGGGAGACTGTTTGAGAGGAAACCCTAGGTCGAGACAGGAAACTCTGAGCAATTCCTGATTGGATCCTGGGTTGTAAAAAGAAGAAAGCTGTAAAGGGCATTACTGAGGTGGCCGGGGAGACTTGGTGGTTATTAGGTGACAGTACAGCGTCCTTGATAAATCTGGGGAGAGAGAGGCTGAAGGAGCTGGGCTGAAGGGTCACAATGTCTGCTCTTACTTTCAAATGGGTCAGCACAAAAAAAGATATAGAGAGAGGCTGGGATAAAGCAAGTGAGGCAGAATTTTAACAGCAGGTAAATCTGGGTGAAGGGCACATGGTGTTCATCATCCTCTTGCAACATTTCTGAAGGTTTAATTTTTTTTAAATAAAAAGCTGTGGTAGATGTTTAGCTCTCTACCGCTGCATTAAAAGCCACTGCAAATTTAGCCACTTAAAGCAACATACCCACTCACAGTCTCTGGGTCAGGGGTCTGGGCACGGCGTAGGCTCAGGGTCTCGAAGCTGCAGGCTGTGGTCCTTTCTGGACCTCAGGATCCTCTTCCAGGTAGGAATCAGCTCCTGTGGTTACAGGACTCAGGTCCCCAGCCCCTAGAGACCCCACCTCCTTTCCTTGGCTGACCACCACACCTACACCAGCCCCTCATAGGGCGGGTGATCCTTGTGGTTCTTAGTGCAGTCAGCACCCTCCTGGGGTCTGCACCCCAATGACCCCCAGCATCACCCTCTGGGCCCAGCCTCTGCCCCTTGGGCTGCCACAGTTGAACATCCCACATGAACCCAAACCAGTGTGCCCCAAATGGGACTCGTCGCCCAAGCCCACCCCAGCCCCCCTCGGTCACCCTGGCCTGTGAGTCCTCCAACGCCCTTCCCACCCTTATTCTGCCCCTTCCCACTGCCCCCGGCCCCCATGTGGTACTAGCCTTGCCTGTGTCCACCCTTTAGTCTCCTAGGGGACTGCCGTGTCCCTTCCAGTCCCCCTGGGACACTCATGATGGTTTCCCAGGATACTCCAACAAAGCACTGCAATCCGGGGGACTGAGAACAACACAAGTTATTCTCTCCCAGCTCTGGAGGCCAGAAGTCCACATGCGAGCACCAGCAGGGCCTACTGTCAGCCGAGGCACTAGGGGAGTCTTTCCTTATCTTTTCCAGCCTGTGTCTGCCAGCCATCACTCCAATCTCTGCCTCCATTGTCACATGGCATTTTCCCTGCCTGTCTCTGTATTTCTTCTCCTCATGTATAAAGACACCACTTACACAGATCAGGACTCACCCGGCTCCAGTGTGACCATATGCTAACCTAACGCATAACACCCACAAAGACTGTTTTCAAATGAGGTCACATTTGTAGGTGCTGGGGATTAGGACTTCAGCACCGTCTTCCGGGGGATACATTCAGGCATTAGCAGGTCTACAGTGGGAGTCAGCCTGCAGGCGCTGTGGGGACCCCTCATGGCGGGCACGCCAGGCTCCGTCACCCCTGCGCTTCATGGATCCCTTGGACCTTCCACACCCGCCCTTGAGGCCTTTCCATGTGCTCTTCCTCTGAATTTAGTCTCGACTGGAGATAGCCTCCCTCCTAGAAGCCCTCCTCACACCCTCGATGAGCCCGAGTCAGAGACTGCCCATCACATGCCTCCACGGGGACACCAGGCCCAGGGAGCTGGGCGAAGAGGCTCGACATCGAGGCAGGGGGCCCAGGGATGAGGCATGGGGGTCCAGGAACATCTCAACATGGGGAACCCAGAGATATCAAGGCACAGAGGTCCCAGAGACTGGGAGGGCAGAAGGCTAGCCAAGCTCAGGCATGAGATGGGCCCCCCAGGCTGGGTGAGTGCATGGGGGTAGTCCCGACTGTGACCTCCCACCCAACCTGCCCCTGCCCCTGCCCCTGCTGGCCGTGTGGCGGAGGGGAGAGGGGCGGGTGCATGGCCCCTGCCTCAGTCTCCCCACCTGTAGCATCAGGGCACTGGGGGGTGACCTGCTGCATCCCCACCTCTGGCCCCTGGCTGATCATCCCACAGCCTGCACCTTCCAGAAGCAGCCTGGGGAGGGCTTCACCCCAACACCCACACACACAGGCTCGGCAGGTTTCACTTCTTTTTTTATTTAAAACAAACATCTGTGTGCTATGTACAAGCCCGGCTCCGGGCGCAGGCAGCGGGGCCAAGCCAGGTGGGGAGCGACGGCAGCTGGAGTGGAGGGGAGGGCCTGGCCCCCAGCTGACTGGCAGGGCAGCGGCTCCTTCCTTCTCCCCACCCCCACCCCCACCCAAGCGGCCCCTTTCCAGCCCACGCCAATAGCCTCTGGGGGCGCTGACCGGCCAGCAGGAGAGCCAGTGAAGGAGCCTCTTCCTAAAGCAAAATAAATAATGAACCTGCCCCGCCAGACACCCCCACCCGGTCAGGGCCAGGCCTGGCCAGGCTCGGGACCACCGCCGGAGAGGGCAGTGGGCCTGGCCCAGCCACAGTGGTTCAGCCTGGCCCTTGCGGGTGGTGGGAAGAGCTGGGCAGAAGCAGAGCCAGGGGGCTGGGCCAGACCCCAAGGCTTTAAGGCAGAGCAGGGTGAGGGTGTGTGCAGCCCAGTGGCCGGGCCAGCCTTTGGCACAATCAGGGCTGGGTGGCCGCAGTGACCATGGGCAGGGCGGGGCAGGTGGTGGGCTGGAGGCGGGGGCAAAGTCTGTGGGTCCTGGATCCCCACTCCAAGGCCTGGCGGGTGGGAACCGGGGGCACGGGGAGGCCTCAGCCACCGCCTGACTCTGTCCCACAGCCACATCCTGGGTCCAGCTCCTGGCGGTCAGCAAAGCGTGTCCGTGTTGAAGGACAGCTGGGCCTGGGGATAGCACGTGGGCCAGGCTTGGGTGGTGTTCTCCTAGGCGAGGACCCTCAGCCTAGACTCTGTGTCTGGGACCCCCACCGCCCCCAACCCAGACCTTGCTCTGACACGGCCTCCACCCCTGACCTCTCCCGGCTCCACTCTCAGCCTAATCCTTGCTCGATGTCTGCCTTTCCCCCGAGACCTCCCTCTGCTGAGCCTGGTGGCTGCCGTGTTTCCATCCCTGCCCTGTCCCTGTTCCCTCCGCTGTCCCCCACTCTGCCAAAATCTCTCCCCTCTGTGCCGCCCACTGTCTAAATCTCTCCCCTCTGCTGCCCCCACTCTGCCTAAATCCCTCCCCTCTGCTGCCCCCTACTCTGCTGAAATCTCTCCCCTCTGCCGCCCCCATTCTGCCTAAATCTCCCCCCTCTGCCACCCCACTCCGCCTAAATCTCTCCCCTCCACTGCCCCCTACTCTGCCTAAATTTCTCCCCTCTGCTGCTCCCCACTCTACCTAAATCTCTCCCCTCTGCTGCTCCCCACTCTGCCTAAATCTCTCCCCTCTGCTGCTCCCCACTCTGCCTAAATCTCTCCTGTCCGCTGCCCCCCACTCTACCTAAATCTCTCCCCTCTGCTGCCCCCCACTCTGACTAAATCTCTCTTCTCTGTGCCCCCCCCTCTGACTAAATCTCTCCCCTCTGCTGCCCTCCACTCTGACTAAATCTCTCCTCTCCACATCCCCCCACTCTGCCTCCGTCTCTCTGTGTCTGCCACCCCCCATTCTGCCCCAGTCTCTGTATCTGTTGCCCCTTCTACTCTGCCTCAGTCTCTCCGCTCTGCGCTCCCACTCAGCCTCAGTCTCTGCGTCTGTCACCATTTCCAATGTGCTTTGGGGTCTGTGGTTGGCCTCGCTTTCTGCCTGCGTCCAGGCCCCTCATCCCCATTCCAGGGGCATCTGTGTGGGCTCTATCTGTCCTCTCGAGCTCTGGGGAGCAGGTGTCCCCACAGCCAGCTCTCCCCGGCCAGTCCCTGACCCCTGAGTCCCTGTGGCCGGCCATGGTGGGCAGCCCCCTCACCCGCTCTTCCTCGAAGCTGATGAGGCCCTCATCCTCCGTGTCCAGCTCCTCAGGCTCGTCAGCCACGAGTGCCCGGAGCTCAGTGGGGGTGGGTCTCGACCGGAAGAAGCTGAGCAGGCGGCCCAGCGGGGACTGCAAGCCGGAGGGCGGCCCCAACTCCTGCTGCTCCAGGTTGTCGCTCTGCTTTTTGGCGAAGTTCACAAACACCTGGTGGGCGGGGGAGGCAGGTGGGTGGGTTGGCCAGGGAAGTGGGCTGAGGCGCCCAGGCCCAGGCACTCACGTTGTCTAGGGTGGTCTGGCTGACGGAGTAATCCTCGATGCCCAGCACGTCCACCACCTGCTCCATTTTGCTGAACACCTGGGCCAGCGAGATATACTCTGACTTCAGCTGGTACTGCACCTTTGTGTGATGCCGCTCCTGCGGGCAGATGAGGGGGGTCAGGGTCTCTCAGGCAGGGCTGCCCCTGCCTCCACCTTGCCTTGGCCACGCCTACCTTGAGCACGGCCTCCGGGAAGTTGCGGTTGAAGAACCGCACCACATCCTTCACGCTCTGGCTGACCTTGGTCCGCACCGTGATCATGTAGCCATCTCCAAACCTGGGAGACAGGCCCATGGCCCCAGGAGCCCTGGTGTCACCACCCATGGCTGTCCACAGACCCCACACCCACAGCACCCACCCCGTGTCCCCTTCTGCTCCCCCCACCTGTTCTTCAGGTGCTGGATGCTGCCCAGACAGCGGAGGCGCCCGTTGACCATGATGGCAAGCCGCGTGCACAGGGCCTCACACTCCTCCATGCTGCAGGCAAGGACGTGGGGCTAGCACCCAGGGGCTCCCGGGACGACGGGCAAGGACGTGGGGCTGGCACCCAGGGGCTCCCGGGACGGTGGACAAAGATGCAGGGCTGGCACCCAGGCTCTCCTGGGACTGGGGTGGGGGAGAGAGGTGGGGGAAGACAGGTGGCCCACCTGTGTGACGTCAGCACCACCGAGCGCCCAGTCTTGATGAGGTCCAGGATGAGGTTCCAGAGGAAACGCCGGGCCTTGGGGTCCATGCCCGTGGTGGGTTCATCCTGGTGGCGGGCAGAGGGCTTAGCTGACTCCACTGCTCTCGCCCACCCGACCCACCTGACCGGGACGCCAGCTCACCAGGAAGATGAAGGCCGGGTGCCCGATGAGAGCGATGGCGGCGGACAGCTTGCGCTTGGTGCCGCCGCTGTAGGTGCCGGCAGGCTTGCTGGCGTACTTGGTCAGCTCCAGCTTCTCTAGCGCCCATTTCACCACCTGGGCGGGCAGGGCAGACGCTCAGGGGCTGCCCACACACAACCCCCCGCCACCACCCCTCGACCAGACCCTCACCCGCGCCTCGTCCTTCCAGGAAATGCCACGCAGTCGCGTGTACAGCTGCAGGTGCTCCCGGGCCGTGAGCTCATCGAACAGGGCGTCGAACTGCGGGCAGTAGCCCAGGCTCTGCTGCACCTGCAGTAGCTCCTTGAGCACGCTAGGGGGCAGCGGGCGTCAGCAGGGCGCATGCGCGAACCGCCCACAGCCCCGTGTCCTCCGGCACCGCGCCCCGCCCCCGCCGCGCCCCGACACCCCCGCGCCCCGCCCTCGCCGCTCCCCGCCCGCACCTGTGCCCGTTGACGAAGGCCTCGCCCCCCGTCGTGCTCTCGTCGCCAGTCAGCATCTTGAAGGTGCTGGTCTTGCCCGCGCCGTTGACGCCGAGGAGGCCGAAGCACTCACCAGGACGCACACCCAGGCACAGGCGGTCCACAGCCAGGATGCGGCCGATCTTCCGGGACTTGTACACCTGGCCGTGTGAGGGGGTCGGTGGGGGGCGCCTGCCCGCTCAGCTGTGCAACCGGTCACACTGGGGCCCCACCCCACACGACCGGCCCCGCCTCTACATCGTGGTCCCACCCCCAGTCTGAACCAGGACCCCACCTTGAGGCCACTCCCTCACCCAGGGCCACGCCCCCACACATCCTGGGCCACGCCCCCATCCTCGGCCTGTGGCTCAGCCCACCTTGGTCAGGTTCTCGATCTTGACCATGTCATTGTCGGCGTCCCCCCGCAGCACTCGCTGCCGCTCACTGGCCACGTCTACGTCGTCCTCCACGGGCTTGGTGGATACAGGCATGCGCCTGGGGGGGACAGGGTGGGCAGTGCGCGGCCCGCCACCGCCGGGGTCCCCCACCCCTGCCGTCACTTCTGCCACTGCCCCTGCCATCTCCCTAGGCTCGCCACCAGTCCTGGCCATCACCTCCCTCACTGTCGCCTGTAACTGCTGCAGAAAGCGTGGGCAGAGCCTGGCCTGTCACCGCCGCTGCCACCC